GGATTTATGCATGACCCCATAATAAACTAAGCCGGACCAACAGGATTAAAAGGAAACATTATCAAAACCACCACCAGAGTAGGAGATTTTAACGTACTTCTTAGTAATTATTAGATAAAACAAACCAAAAAAAATCTGCCCAAAAATAGAAAATGTAATGGGAAAACCATAGACCTTAAATTAATGGGTTTGACTGAATCTGACATCTGGGGGAGGCACACTCCTTTCAAGCACATGTGGAATAGTTCCTAGGGTGACACACCCCAAACATATAGCTGACTGCAATATACTTCAAAGGATCAGGGTCTGCCAGACACATTGCTTACCACAATGCGATTAAGCTGGGAAACAAAGCCAGTAAGAAAATTAGAAAAATCCATTCACTTGGAAATTTAATGACAGCTATAAATCAACTTATAGGTCAAAGGAGAAATATATCTGAAATGAAAAGATGTCAACATCTACTTTCCCTCACGATACCCCAGGGATATAAATACTTGGAGTGTTAAATACTTGCCTTTAAAAAAAGAAAAAGAAGTCTCACAATGTAGCTAAGATTTAATTAAATCAAAGAGCCACAGAGTAGAAGAAAGGCAATGAAAAGAACAGAAATTCATTAAATAGAGAAACACAGAAAAGATTAACAAAGTCAAACTACATGTGTGAAAGTACAGATTTTTAAATGCCACAAATGGAAAGAAGAAAACAATGTAACCTCAGATGCAGAGGACAACACAGAAGAGGATGTTTAAGAGCAGCTCTTGACACACTTTGGAACCTCAATGTCATGGATGTTTTCCTGGAAAGACAGAAGTTAGCCAAACAAACTTGAAGAGAAACACAAAACCTAAATAATCCTTTAATTGCAAAAAATGCAATTTATAGTCAAAATTTTTTCAGTAAAAACACATGAAAAAATGCTAATTATTCCTGGCCATAAAGGAAATGCAAATCAAAACCACACTAAGATTTCACCTCATATCTGTTAAAAATGTCAAGAACACTACCAACAAAAATGTTGGTGAGTATGCGGGAAAAAGGAACATTGATACACTGCTGGTGGGAATGTAAGCTAGTACAACCACGCTGGGAAACAATATGGAGGCTTCTTAACAAACTAAACATAGATCTACCATATGATCCAGCAATACCACTCCTAGGGATATACCCAAAGGAATGTGACTCAAGTTATTACAAAAACACCTGCACACCCATGTTTATTGCAGCACTATTCACAATAGCCAAGCTCTGGAAACAGCCAAGATGCCCCACTACCAACAAATGGATTAAGAAAATGTGGTGTTTATACATTAAGGAATTTTACTCAGCCACAAAGATGAATGAAATTTTGTCATTTTGCAAGTAAATGGATGGAACTGGAGAACATCATCTCAAGCGAAGTTAGTCAGGCTCAGAAGGCAAAAAATCGCATGTTCTCCCTCATGTGCAGATTATAGGCCTAAAACAAATGCAGAAATATTATTGGACATGGGTCACATGCTAAGGGGAGAACATGCATGGGAGGAATAGGGAAAGAGAAGGAAACCTAAAACTTGAATGTGGCTGATGTGCTCACTGTAGATGAGCGAATATAGTAATCTTAAACTGGCAGAGGCCACTATGGGAAGAGGACTAGGAAGTAGTGAAGAGATCTGGTAGAGATGAACCAATTTGGGTTGTAATACACACGTGCACGGAAACAGTACAAAGAATCTCCCTGTATAGCTATCCTTATCTCAAACTAGCAAAAATGCCATGTTTTTTCTTATTATCTTTTATGTTTTTTCAACAAAATTGGAGAACAAGAGGGCCAAACAGGTTCTGCCTGGAGGTCTGGGAGAGGTGGCCCATATAATGTATGCACATGTAAGTAAATGCAAAAACAAATAAAATTAAAAAAAAAAAAGAAATCACTGCATCCAAATAGCTTTATCTGAATGACATCAGACATTCAGGGAACAGTTTCATTTTTACCATTCATACTCAGACAATCTTAGAGAAAAAAAAAACCCTAATTAATTTTACATGGTCAGCGTAACCTTGATACCCAAACTAAGCAACACAACCAGACAGGCCAATGTTACTCGGAAGTGTGGATGAGTAATTCTAAACCAGTAACACTAAACCAGATCCAGCACTGAGTAAATAAAAGATGATACCTCATGATCAAGTTAGGTTTATTCCAGCAATTTAATCAATGGATTAATTTACTTGATTAATGTTAGAATATTTACTAATAACAGCATATTAACAGGTTAAAAAGGAAAAGTTATATCAGTAAGGAAAACAGAATTCATGAACATATTGACATAAAAATGTCTTTGCATGTTCTTACAGAGAAATTTCCCTAAGTTATAAAAGGACATGGTGATGGTTAATTTTGGTTTGTGACCTGATTGGGTTGAGGGGTACTCAGAACACTGATCGAGCACACTTCTGAGTGTGTCTCTGAGGGGGTATCCAGAAAGATGGAGCCTGAATGTGCCTGGCACCATTCAATAGGCTGGAGGTCCAGGTGGGACATGAAACCAGAAGAAAGGGAGAAAGTAACTCTGCCCCTACCTAACCCCTGACTTTTCTTTGTGGAGGCTGCAGATTTTGCACTGCTGCTGCCCTTGGATGTCAGGCTCCAGTTCTTTCGCCTTGTCCCAATGCCTCTCCAGCAGCCCTCAGGGGTGAGAGGCCAACTCATCAGCATCCCTGGTTCTGAGTCTTCTGGCTTCTTGAACTGAGCCGTGTTCTAGTCTCCCTGGCTTCCCATCTTCCAGACAGTCATTTCAGAATGTCCTGTGTGAGTGTGTGAGCCAATCTAGTAATTCATACATGCATATCTATTTCTATGGTTCTGTTCTCTGTGGAATCCTAGCTAATGTAGTCACTTAAAATCAAATCAAAACAAAAAAACAGCCAGTGCCAGCCACCAGCTCACTCCTGTAATCCTAGCTTCTCAAGAGGCACAGATCAGGAGGACCACAGTTCAAAGCCAGACCGGGCAAATAGTTTGGGAGACCCTATCTAGAAAAAACCCATCACACACACACAAAAAAAAAAGGCTGGTGGAGTGGTTTAAGTGGTAGACCAACTGCCTAGAAAGCATGAATGAGGCCCTGAGTTCAAAATCAAGTCCCACCAAAAAAATAGAAAAAAAAGAGTAAAACAGCCAGCAAACATAATGAAAGGGGAAACTTAGCACACACTTAACAATTAGGAACAAAGCAAAGATGTCTTCCATCCCCCTGTCTTCCTCCTCTTTCACCCTACACTGGGATTTGAGCCAGCTCAGTAGAAGTCAAGGAAAAGAAACACCAATTGTAAGGGCAGGAATGTAAAGTCTTTGGGCTGCCATGGAAGATAGTATGTCATGACTTCAAAAGATTAAATACAGGATGACTGTATGACCTAGCAATTCCAAAGGGAATTGAGAGCAGGGACACAACTGGACTCTTGAGAACTTCATGATAGCCAAAGGGACATCACTTACCCAAATGTCCGTCAACAGATGAACAGATAAACAAAATGTACTATAAACACATGGTGGAATGTTAGTAAACCTTAAAAGGAAGGAAGTTCTGACACATGCTACAGCATGAGAACGCTGAAGCTACTGTGTCGTGTGAAATAGAACAGGACAAGAAGACAAACATCTCATGTCTGCTTATGGGAGGTACTTAGGGTTGTCAAAATGGAGAGAGGAAGTAGAATGGTGGTTACCAAGAGCTGGAGGAAGTGGGTATGGGATAGTCAGTGGGTATGGGGACAAGTCTTGGCTTGGGATGATGGAAAGTTCTGGAGAGGGATGGTGGTGATGGTTGCCCAACAGTGGGAATGTACTTAATGCCAGTGAGCTATACCCCTGAAATGGTAAATTTTATGTCATGTGTATTTATTACAAGGTTTTACAAAAGCCGTAAGGATTCCCAAGGTAGAAACAGAAGATTGTTCTGTGTGATTGCCCACAAATGCTGCCATATGGAATGTGGCACTTCCTGCTAAATGCAGGGTTATTTATTCCCTACCATTTGTGGTGAGGGTGTGTTTCACAGATAATATGCATAGTCACATACGATTTTTCTGAGAGAAAGCACAGAAGGCTTTCATTAGACTATCACAGGGGTTTGTGACCCACAAAAATCAGTGTCTTTCAGAGTCACCCCCCTCCCGTGCTGCTAATCTCCTTGCTCTACCCTCCACAGGTCTGCAGATGTGGCAGGCTGAACCACACTCTCTCCCATAAGGGACAGCTCAGGCCCTTCATGTCCTCCCAGTCTCATTCCGCCTTCCTCCTCTCCTCTCCTCTCCTCACCCCAACAGCACTTTTCTCTCCCTTCCATTCGTTGAAGTTATTTAAACAAAATGCAAAGTGTTTCCTTACATCTTTCTTGAATTCACTGAAGCAAATTTGACTTTCAATGTTTAGAGAGCATAGTTCTGAATGAACTAAACTTCAGGTGATTTTCCTAATGCCCTCCATTTCCTGGGAGATAGATTAAGTAAGGTCCATCTCTGGCTCGGGGCTCAGAACTCAAAAAGCTCAAAGCACCTGCCCAGTGATTAAAATCCCTAAGCCATTTCCTGCAGCCAGAAATCATTCTCAACTGGATGTCTTGCTCATTCTGTATCTGGCACTTAACATCGGCTGCATTTTCACAAACTGCACTCTGACTCTGTCCCATGGTCTACCGTGTGCTGGAAGGTTCTTAGAAAATAGTGCAAGAGAGCATCCATCAGATCATCCATGCACCAAGTTTATATCAGCCAGGGAATGAGAGATAGCATAGCTTAATTTTCACGCAGAGGAATTAGGAGAATTTTTAACAAAATGCTTTTATTTCTACATTTAAATGAAATGCACGAATTATCAAAAGGCACTATATTTTGTGTTTGAACTCTTCGGAGAAGAGGCCTGCTGAAATAAAACTCATCAGAACCAAATAGTGTCGGCACCGGGGCACCTGCAGGGACGTACTGCTGGCTTCTGCACGCTCTGCGCCCAGGAATGGTTAGTAGTCGTCATAGTTGACGCTGGCCCCATGCCTAAAGCCGTCGGGGCTCCGGGGGCCGATGGCAGAGTCTTCATCATAGTGACGCTGGTAGTAATCGCCGTAGTAGTCATGTCCGTTTCGATCTCTATTGAGCCAGTAGGTGATGTCATCCTCAAATTTCTGGAGGAGAAGAGAGAATAATGGAGCGTGGATTTAAAGGTACACACTCCTCTAAAATCACATTATACCTGTGACTTTTCTCTGTGGTACTTTTTCTTCAGTGACTAACAACCCTTACTCTGAATAACTCCTTGGTATGATATTCTTACGCTCAGAGGTCAACACCACCAGGGTGAGGACACTGATAAGAGATCTTTACCTCCAAAAGAGCCATGACTGTATCTTTGAAAACTTCCGCCATACTGGTTCCGAATATACACCATGCTGAAACATTTTTCTCTTTTTATGGCAAATAAAATGCACATCTGCCAGACAGTGCCAACGTGGCTGGATCCCGAGGCACTACCCACATCTCACTGTGGCAGATGGCCTATGCAGTCTTATCTTCCTAGCCCACTCTTTGCCTGGCCTCCATTTTGCACATATAGCAGCATATAGGTACTGAGGGCATTAAATCAGCCACTGCACTGGCATCTTATGACTCTGGGGCAGGGCGCTGGGGATGCCCCCATGTTGACTCTTATCCCTGTGTTCTTGGTTAGAGTGAGCACAGGTGACAAACTGCTAAATGGGTTCCATGTGCCAGGCACTGAAAAGCCACCCAAAACAAGTCAGTTCCAGCCTTCCTGAAGCCTATGGTCCCTCAGAGACAGAGATGAAAGGAGACCATCGCAGTCAATCAAAGTAGAAGGGAAGAAGAAGGGCTGAAGATGAGGAGGATGGTTAGGATTTTAGCTTCGGCAACTGGTCTTTGCTACTGATCTGTTTTTAAAGGGAGGACTAACTTTTCTTTGGTGATGGTGAAAGCGGGGCTTACACTTGGTGATTTAGTATGAGGGCAGAATAAAAGGAACTGACAAAGACAGCATGGGGAGAGTGCAGCAGGCCAAGCAGTTTGGCTGTGCAGCCAAGTCCTCTCGTGTGGCCAGATGCCCCTGCCTCCACTCAGCAGGAAGGCTGCCAGTTCAGATCCTCTGGCACCCCGCCATGCCTCCTGGGTCAAATTTTCTGGTGGTTGTGTCTCAGGAGCTTTATTAATTCACACAGACAGCTCCTGACACATGATGGTTCAACCTAGGACTTTTGGATTTTAGACAATGTGAAAGTGACAGCCCTCAGTAGAAGTTCAAATTCAGATCTGTTCCCAGGCAGATGATATGCCGTAGGGTCCTCCTGTGATGCTGCAGTGAGCATGGCTCCCAGTCAGCCTGTCATGTGAGTGATAGGGTATCCACAATACATCCTGTGGCTGAGCTGTAGTGCTGGGTAGGTTAGCTGCACCAAATGCATTTTCAATTATGGTATTTTCAAATTGTGATGGCTTTATCCAGACGTAGTCCCATCATAAGTGGAAGAGCATCTGAGAATTCCATGAGGCTGGAAGCCCAGCCTGACCCATGATCATGGGCTCTGTGGCCTAATGGCCACCACCTTGGGTGAGCAGTGTGCCAGCTCCTGCAGCGTTGGAGTACATGGTTCTAATCCCTTGCCTCCATCTGCTACACCTGCATCTTTGTCGCTTTCTGAACCCTGCCTCAGCCACTGTATCCAGAAGGAAGAGGACAGGGACTTCTTTGCTTCCTTTATCTCCAGCCTTTCTTCTTCTTCTCCTTTTTTTTTTTTTTTTGTGGTTCTGGGGTTTGAACTTAGAGACTTGCTAGGTAAGTGCTCTGCTACTTGAACCTTGCCCCCAGCTCCTCTTCTTCCTTTAGTTATTTTTGCAGATAGGGTCTGGTGCTTTTTGCCTAGGGCAGGTCTGGGACCAGATGCTCCTACCTAAACCTCCCGAGTAGCTGGGAATACATGTGCACACTACCACACCTTGCTCCAGCCTGGCTTTTCCTTACAATATCACAAATTTTTTTTTGTCATAATAATCCTATATTTTGGCTTTTCCCATTTTGTAAGTTAGAGATTTTGGCTTAAATACACATGCACACACACATTCAATAAGCTTTAAAAATATTTTATGAGTACAAAAATAATGCAGACTTAAATCTGTATGTGAGACCACGCTCTGGTGGCTCTGCCTGTAATCCCAGCTACTCAGGAGGCAGAGATCAGGAGGATTGCTGTTCAAAGCTAGCCCAAGCAAATAGTTCACAAGACCTTATCTTGAAAAAAAGCATCACAAAAAAAGGGCTAGTGGAGTGGCTCACGGTGTAGGCCATGAGGGCAAATCCCAGTACTGCGAAAAAAAAAATCTGTACGTGAGGGAGAGAAAAAGTGATTGTTCAATCTAGTGCCAGATAATGACATTGGATAGTTCCTTTTAGTCGTCTTTTTTTTTTTTTTTTTGCAATAGTGGAGTTTGAACTAAGGGCCTACACCTTGAGCCACTCCACCAGCCCTTTTGTGTGATAGGATTTTTTGAGATAGGGTCTCTCAAACTATTTGCCTGGGCTGACTTCAAAATGTGATCCTCCTGATCTCTGCCTCCTGAATAGCTAGGATTACAGGTGTGAGCAACTGGCACCTTCTTTATGCATATTTAGTTATGGTAATATTCTTTGATTCTCATCTTTATTTTGGTTTTATTACCAGACATTATTTTAGTCATTTTTCTATATTAATTGTTTTTTGGCAGTACTGGGGCTTTGAACTCAGGGCCTCACGCTTTGTGCTCTACCACTTAAGCCACTTTGCCAGTCCTGTTTTTTTGTGCTAGGTATTTTCGAGATTGGGGCTTGCAAACTATTTGCTCGGAGCTGGCTTTGAACTGCAATTCTCCTGATCTCTTCCTCCTGACTAGCTAGGATTATAGGTGTGAACCACAGTTGCCTGGCTATATTAAATTTTTAATGTCCATTTTCCATAGTCATCAAAGAAATACAAATTACTAAAAGGTGATATGAATTTCTTGTCTACAAAATAAATAAGTATATATTTGTAAACATTTCAAACATCTGCTGCTGAAGATAACAGAACATGGATGCTTTGTGCAGGACATAAGAGAGTGCAGAATTTGAAAACACCTGTTTTCTTAGATGTTAATCTGCCTTTGCCACAGTAACTATGCTATGCAGAACATCGACCTAAGAAAGGGACAAATGACACACAGAGGTGCAAATTATACTACCTTCCCTTTGGTTGCTGTGAGTGTGAAATAAGTTCACTCGTACAAGTACTTGGTGTCACACCTGCACAGTTTGGTTGTGTCTAGCTATTTGCACAGCAAAAGAAAAAGTGAGTAGCAAAAAGACATTTCAGGGATAACCAGCGTTATCCCTGATAACCAGTGGTTGAGAATTCTATTTCATTCTATGCAGCCGTTGGTAATGAGGCCTCCACAGCTTTATTCTTGCAGGCAATGCAGTACTTGGCATACACCCTCAATGCAGCATGAGCCCATTCAGGAAAACATGTTCAGAATTTAATAAGGAAAAATGGCTAAAATGATGCCTGGTAACCAAACCAAAATAAACATGAGAAGCAAAGAATATTACCATAACTAAATATGCATAAAGAAGGCTAGAAGAAAATATTTCCAGTTGGAGATGCTGCCCAGGAAAAACCCATCTGGCTCCTCGGGGGTGGGACAGGGTAGGTGGTCTCCAGAGGACTGGCCAGCCCCTCTGCAGACAGACTCCTGTGCAGCAGAATCCAGGGCCTCAATCCTGAGACCCTCTTACCTGTTCCTGAACCCCACACGGCATTCTGTGATCATAAACCTCTTTATCCTTAATTTTCTAAATTTACCCACTAACGCTGCCTCAGCAAATGAGCTGCAAACCGTCTTTTCCCACATGTTCATTGACAAAATTTCTCCCACACATCCACAAAGACCCATCTCTCTTTAAAAGTAACCACGTAATCTCTTTCCATGATCCTCCTGAGTCCTCATAGCCATCTTGTTGTTCTGACTTTTTGTTTGTTTGGGGTTCATGAGTTATTGTAAGGATGCCCAGGCAAAGCTGAACCCAAACAATGAGGTTAAAAGCATTTGTAGAAAAATCAAATTCTTAATGAATCCGAGACTGAGCCATTTGGCTCTCAACATCTCTGGATTCTGCTTCCCAAATCTCCTGATGGAAAATTCCAGCTGATGTCTGTACACTATTGGTAATGTAATCAAATGCCTAGGTAGCACTTGCTGTGTATGAGTGGGGCTCATACTTTTGGTGGTACTGGGATTTGAATTCAGAGCTTTGCTCTTGCTACATAGGCACTCTACCCTTTGAGCCATGGATCCACTCCTGTGGCTCATACTTTAGGAATGTGCTATGGTTTGGATATGCTTTGGGGGCACCCCCCCACCACCATAGGGTTCAGGTGCTGGAAGCTTGGTCCCAAGGCGGCAGGGATGAGATGGTAGAACATTTAAGAGGTGGAGCCAGTGCAAGGTAATCAGGTCATATGGGCTTCACCCTTCAAAGGGATTAATACTGGCCTGTCAGAGAAGCTGTTACAAAATGAGTTCAGGCTTGTTTTCTGCCTTGCCATGTGACCTCTTCTGCACATCTTCTGCCATTGTGATGCCATGAAGCCCTTACTAGAGCCAAGCACTGCAAGCTAAAATAAACATCTTTTCTTTATAAAGTACCCAGCTGTGGGTATTTTGATAGAGTGACAGAAAACAATTCTATTTCTTAAGGCAGGCCTGTTTGCCCCCCAGCCTGCCGTGCAGGGTGCTGGCCTGCATCAGGAGAGTGCACCCACCGCTTCATCAAAGCCCATGTAGAGTAACTGCTGGTACCACTGCTGCACCTCTGGCCGGGTCTGGTCCCACAGCTGTCGCCTGGCACGCTTCAGGCCACCCAGGAACTCTTTGGCTTTGTTCTCATCCACAGCCACATTCGTCTTAGTAGGAGCAGGTGCTAAAATGGTCAATTCCCCACCCCAAAGCACAAAGAATGATTTCCTTTCTTTTTATTATTAGAATTTTACTGCGGTTGAACTACTTTTCTTAATTGACACATAGTAATTGTGTGTGCAGTGTTATAATTGGATACGAGTGCACAATGTGTGATGATTAAATCAGGGTGATTAGCATTTCCCTCAGCCACTTATCATTCTTCATGCCAGGAAGCTTAGGACTTCTCTCTTCCAGTTCTCATCATTATAAAGTGTATAATAAATTGTGAACCATGATCACCTACTGTGCTGTAGAACATGACAATGTACTCCTCCTATCTACCTGTCCCCTGCTCCTCTAAGAATGACTTGTTTTTCTCTCTTTTGCAATGCTGGAAATAGAACTCGGGTCCTGTGCCTGCCACACAAGTGCTCTACCACTGAGCAACAGCCCAGCCTGAGTTTTCTTGTTGGAGTTAAATCACCATTATACATCCCACCATCGCCACCCACCCAATGGGGTGTCTTTGACTCTCGACTTCATTCTTACACACATGTGATAAGACTCAGCCTCAGGTCAACAGTTTCCCTGCACTTCCTTAGTAAGCTTTCCTATCTTTGTACAGCCACATAAAAAGGCACGGACTGCTAGGCACCTAGCTATACAGGAGGCAGAGATCAGGAGAATTGTGGTTCGAAGCCAGCCTGGCAAATAGTTCCACAATATCCTATCTCAAAAAACCCTTCACAAAAATAGGGCTGGTAGAGTAACTTAAGGTGAAGGCCCTGAGTTCAAACCCCAGTACTGCAAAAAAAAAAAAAAAAAAGGCACAGACTAAGATTCCCAGGGTAGCAATGAAATTCAGCTCATACCCTGCAGACCACGCCCAGGCTTTGCCAGGGCCTGGGGGCTTAATCCTTGGGCTCTGCACTCAGGAAGCAGAACTGGACAGTGAGTGCCGCACATATATGTGGTATATGTACATTGTAGCTACAAGCAGGAGAGGGTCAGGCTCGCTTAGGAAACAAGGAAGTGACTGGAACAGTGAACCCAGAGTACAGAGACCAGGCCTGCCTAGCGGGGCTGCCAAGTTCTCACATCAGGTCGCTGGAGCACACAGTGCCCCCTTCAGCTGTCTCTGGGCCACACAGTCTGATCCTGGTGGACTCCCAGGAGTCCTGGAGGTACTGACCCTTGCTTTAGTACTGACCCTTGCTTCCTCTAATGTCTTCTCATCACATCCTTAATTACTAAAATAAATGGCACCACTTCTGCAGGATGTGCTCAGGGGATGCAGCTGAGCTGTGGACTTGCCTCTGCCCTTTATTTTGGAAACTTTGTTCCCTCATCTGCAGAAGTGGACCAGCAGTTTTTAACCTGGTGCTGTTATGAAAAATGCACACGATAATGAGGCTAGAGCACTGGATGTCTGCATTGGTTACATGGAGGAATATCAGAAGTGATTGGGTTTTTTAAACAAATTTTAAGGCCTATTACTTTGTGTATATGGTAGGTGCTCAGTTTATGTTTCTTGGATTGAACTGAGAAAAGACTGAGGGATACACACCCAGGAGTCGTGATTATGACAGGCTGGTCTGAGAGCATCACTCACCCCTGGTTATTCATGAGGTGAGGCTCTCCTGGTCAACCAGAAAGGGACCTTTTATCTGCCTGCAAGATCAGGGATAGGCAGAGACTCACAGGTGACTGGAGATGTCGGGAAGGAGGCTGGCAACACCCCCAGAAACTTCCTGCCCCTGAGAGAAGCTATCTGTGCTCCAGGTACCCATGGGAGTCAACTGGGTAGTTGGAACTAAGTGATGAAGGGCCCCACCTCATGAGCTCCCCCATAAACTAGGAGAGAGAAGAGCAAGGGATTAAGTGATCATATCAGAAATGTGGTCACACTTCTTCATTTACGGGATACTTAATTTTACAGAGGATGATGCAAAGAAGGAGAAATTATATTCAAAAGCCACATAGTGGAGCCAACTCAGGCCCAGCATGGTGGATCATGCCTGTAATCCCAGGATCATAGTCCAAGACCAGCAAGACAAAAGCTCAAGAACCTATCTGGAAAAAAAAAACACTAAAACTAAAAGGACTGGGGGTGTCACTCAAGTGGTAGAGTATTTGTCTAGCCCCCAAGATCAAGTCCCAGTTCTGAAAAAACAAATTCACCTAACCAATGAGAATAGTGACTCCAGAAAAAAAATATTTTGTGATTTCCAGAATGTCCTATTCTTATGATGTCTTTTGGCTGTCTACCCCATATGTCCTGCATAAATACCTTTCCCCAGTTGCTAACTGTATGTGTAGAGTACCCCAGCAATGCCATTCCATGCCCACCCACCATGTCAGGTCTAACGTGCTCAAGAGGATATGCCCTAGGTTTACTACATGTGCTGTGAAGTGCTTCATGGGCCTAAAATAAACACCGTTCAAATAACACTGTAACACTGCCTCTTCTATTTCAAGTCTACATCAATGGCTTACAGAAAAGCAGTCTTCAAACATTTACCAGCAATAATATTTATCTAATGAAATACCACACCGCATACCCACAGAATAAGCCCTTCATGTGCAAACCTTTTAAGGAGTAAACACTTTCCAATTTCCAAATGCAAGACTCCAGCAAGCATGGTCAGCATTGCTGTTTCATTTCCCCATGATGAAGAATGCATCCCTTATCCACTGGGGCATATTTACCTTCGCGTTTCTGGAGCATCTGCTTGAGTTTATTTCCACTTATGCCACCTAAAGAAATGAAAGCAGAAATCAGTTTCAGAGTTGCACAGCACCCTGGAATTTCTCAAATGCACACATTGGTGTTGGAAATAAGAACCGTGGGCTCCTGCCTTGATTTGACTGCTTGGGTGTATTGCAGTATTTAATGCTCATTGCATGCTTAGTATTTATGCAAGAAAAACAATCCAGGGTGCCCAGAGCTAATACTGGTGACAATGACTATGGCCAATCAAGGGCATTGCCATTTGAGCTATTGCCTAGGAAAAGTGACATTTGTCTCTTAGCTCTGGTGTCTTATCATTAGGGCCAGTTATGTGTTGTGTGTAATTCCCTGCAATAATTCACTTCTTGGTGTTATGAGCCCCGTAGGGTCCCCTAAATTCATATCCACCCAGGATCTCCACATGTGTCTTTACAGGTGAAATTTGTTAATGATCACAAGATGATAGCATACTGGATAGAGGATGGGCTCTAAATCTAGTGACTTGTGTCCTTATAAGAAGAGGAGGGGATACAAGCCAGGCAGCCTATTACCACAGGAAGAAATGGAATTTATGCCACCACAATCTAGTTTGCTCTGATCATCCTATAGTAAATCATTATTGGGACCACTTGTTACTAGATTTAATCAGTTTTAAAAGAGTTATTAGGACCAGAGGCATAGCTCAAATGGTAGAATGCCTGCTTTGCAAGCGTGAAACCCTCAGTTCAAACAGCAGTCCCACCCAAAAAAAAAAAAAAGTTCCTAATCACCTGATCATTTTAATGGGAAATAATATATTTGGCCTGAAAGAACATGAACTGGCATGAGGACCTCCCTCACAGAAGCCTCTGATCCTTGGCTATTGCACACAGAAATAGGGTTTGTCTCATGAAGGCTGGGCGCAAAGCCCCTGGGAAGAACACCCCAGCATCCTATGTAGTGAGTAGAGCATCTGCAGGGGTAAGAACTGGAGCCTGGGCCCAGAAAATAGAAATGCACTGAGAGGTGATGCCTGTCTTCTCTGAAGGGCTCTTAACCTGTCTGTGCATGAACAGGAGCCAGGAGTCTGAAAAAGCATCCAAATGGTGCTAGCATCTACAGAGGTAGAATTTGGGGAGTTGGGGGGAACAGGAGCCATAACTTACTAGAACCTCAAAAGTGTCTTGGGCCCAAATGAGATTAAGAATTCTGCTTTGGGCTTGGGGTGAAACTCAGTGGTAGAGCATTTGCTTAGCAGGCATGAGCCCCTGGGTTCTTGATTCAGCCACAAGAAACAATCTGTGCTTTTTATCAATTATAATCAGTAAAGCTGGGAAAGTAATATTTAAAAACAAAAACTCCTGCTTAAATAATTTACTATGTTCTTGAGAAGAGAAAAAAACCACAATTCTTAGCCAAGAGTCACCAACTGGCTGTGCTAAACCAAACTCTACCTGCATATGTTAGTGTTAGTTGCATATGTTAGTTGTTAGTGGGCCTGGGATTAACACAATTTCAATTTAAACATGTCTGGATCCACATCACTCATACAGACTGTGGTCCATAAGTAGCCACCTCACCTGTTAACCCCTGTAGGTGTCTGGCTCTGAGTGCTGCCTTCTGGCTGCCATTAGGGTAGTTGTACCTACTGACCAGGCTCCTGGGATGGACAAGGGGAATTGCTAGAATTGATTCACCCTATTTTCCACCCTAATGACTTATGAAAATGGTGCCATGCTTTCTGGCTGTTCCAGGGCAGCCCTAGTTTTTACATATTGTCCTGATAAATTAACGACAGTGTCTCCTTTTGATCTCCAAAGTGCTCTAGTTTGGATGATAACTTCAGTAGCCATCCTCTTTTTAGAAGTGAATGGGATGGGAACAGCTTGGGAAGAGTCTCTAGGGGCCACAGTGAAGGGCCAGGGGTGGTTCTTGGCCTCACTTTTTGTGCAGAAGAGGTGCTGGGGCCATCAGCTGAGGTATTAGTGTAGCAAGAGCAGCCTGAGGGGGGGATGCCGTGGCTTTTGTCATCTGTGTTCGGGTCATACTACAGCTATGCAGATGTTCAAAAAGCAGTTGCAATGTTAGGCTGCCTCAATGAAGGACAGCAGTGTGAAAGATGTGACTGTCCTGTCTCTCTCTGACACTGCTCTGAGCAGACCACTTCTCTACTATTTTGTTCTATTCCTGTCATCTTGCTTGAAGAAAGTATTGAACACCTGGAGCTGGGGTTGAAGGAGAGTGTTCAGGGCCAACAGGAGCTGGAGTGTGTGTAATAGAAACAAAAGTAAAGGCACTGAAATGTTCCACCTTCCGGGAGCAGAACTGGACCACAGATTACAGGGCATGAAGTGACATTCCCAATGCCTGCGTACCACCAGAGAACAAGGACCCCAAAAGACTCCCCACCAAGGGTCACTGGAAAGCAGTGTGGTAGAGCACACTGCAATTCCAGCACGCAGGAGGTTGAGGCAGGAGGATCACGAGTTTGAGGCCAGTCCCAGGCTACAGAGTGAGACTCTGTCTCAAAGTAAATAAACAAAAAAAGTAAAAAAAAAAAAAAATCAGAAGGTCACTAAAGGATTCAGAGCATAAATCAACACAGTTCAGCACTTGACCAGGTTACCATAGAGGGAATTATCTAATTAGATGGGTGGGAGTGGTCTTAAAGACTCCCACTGTATTTCTCTTCCAACCTTAAGAGCAAATGAAGAAATCTATGAAAATAGTGCCAAGATACATTCCTTGGCACTCATATCAGCATTCATGAATATCTTAACATTTGTCAAGCTCTAACAAGTCACAGGGTAATGCATACAGAATTAAGTATCACCCCTCCATCTGTTTGCCATCTATAAAAATGCTGAACAATGAATGGATGAAATGTGGTCTGGTATTAAACTAGACATTGGGTTTAAGCATTTACCATGAGGCTGCAATTTCTAGCAGCAAATGTGTGTCACTACTGCTCCAGAAATGAGTCTCATTAAATCCCAGCTACATGGAAAGGCATGGAGACACCCCACATTATGAATTATGCTACTGTGTCAATTCCTACACCCTGAACTGTACAACAATACCTATAATTGGATGTCACACTAAATCTGCTTAGAGAAAGGAGTTGAGACAATAGAATAGCTGATAAGAATTTCTGTAATACGGATTTTGTATTCCATCACCATCAGTTTCTAGGCTGTGATAATAAGCACTTCTGAATTTATCAAATCTGGTTACCTGCAGTTAAATCCCCCAGCAGGTTGGCTAGATACAGAATTGAAAGATGCCCCTTTGAGGGTGCTAACTATTAATAAATAGATCAAGAAGGGACCATGATAATTTTCTGCGTTAAATATTTTGAATATCATAAAGAGTCACTTTTGAGATCTTTTCATTTTAGTTCATAAGAATATCTCGTTTCTTAATGATGGTAATATTTTAACTAACTTATTACTAATTTCTCTGTATGAACTAAATAATACATGAGTCCTAAAAATGAATAACATAGAGCCAATGTTTACAAAATTGATCTGAAAGAAAAAGGGGGAGGTCGGCAAGTTAGGCAATGGAAGAATATCACTGTGTTCACCAGTGGCTACCATTTAGAACAGGAATCCTCAGGCTAATCTAGAGATGGTAGGCTCCCACCCCAGTCCAGGACTCCTATGCCTCCCCTCAACCTGTAGCTTGGTTTTCCATACCTGTTTTTGAATAAGCAAAATACAGACACAGAGCAATCAAGCTGCACATTCATGCAACTACTTTGCAGTGAGCCAAACGCCAGGCTAGAGGACATGGGCAAGTAAGTCACTTAGAGCCGTCCAAGCCCAACCCCTCTCTTAGCAGTAAACCTGGTTCACACTGCCTGGGCTCCCAGAGTTGCAAGCCTCAAAGGCCTGCTGTGCACCTGAGGCCGCTTGTGACTTATAAGGATCACACAAAGGGAGCGTGGTGTCTTGGGACAAAATGTAATTTCAGATTACCAATCATAAGAAGGAGTCCGTGAACCACCAGGGTTCAGACTTCTGCACACTCACCAAACTGCATCTCTCTCTCTCCCCTCTCCCTCTCTCCCTCTCCCCTCTCCCCCTCTCCCCCTCCCCCTTTCCTCCCCTCTGTCTCCTTCTCTCCCTCTCTCCCTTTCTCTCTCCTGGGAATCCATGAGGCAGAGGAGGTTTAAGCATCACCTTTAACAGCGGTTCCCCCGCCTAGGGTGTAGGCTTGCGCTCGGCTTTGTAGACTGGAACAATGCCAGCTCTGTGCTTGCAAGGCAATCACCACGATGGTGTCATTTGCCTCCTCTCGATTCTTGCCGGATACCACCCTGCTTAGTCTCCACAACCCCTTTGCCTCTCCGTTAAGCCCTGAAACACTTCTTGTCCACCCTTCAGAATCCTGTTTCTCTTTTCCCCTGAGTCTGAAACACTCCTCTTGACCTTGCTACCCTCATCGCCTGCTCAAGCGTGGTCGTCGTGCTCCTGCAAGCGCAAAATTCTAGACATGGTCGCCCTAGCACCGCCTTGGCCCAGCCTGCCCAAGGATGGGTCCCTAGGACCGCACTCCACCGCAATCTCCTTCCCCGTGCACCGGGGCATTGCCACCCTGGGCCAATCCCACCCTGGGACCAGACGCTGCTCTCAGGTTGGCATGGGCCACTCACCTGGACCCAAGCACAGCAGCAAGAGCAGCGCCAGCCCAGTCATGGCCAGGACGGCGGGCCGCGCGGAGGAGGCGACCATGGCAGCGATGGGTGACTGGAGGGCGAAGGACGCACGCGGAGCCTCTGCGCACGAGGACTGGCGTGTGGGTCCCGCGTGCACGGAGGCAGGCGCGGCGGAGGGAGCTCCTGGTGTCCTTGCCTGGGCGGAGCCCGCCGGGTGGGCGACAAGCCAATGGGCTGAGGGCCAAGCTGCGGCGCCAAGAGCCAGGTCCCCGCTGGGGACAGAGCGCCGCGTGGGCCACGCTGCCCGAAGCAAAAGCGGCGAGGTCAAGCTGCGGCCCAGGGAAAGAAGGGCCCCAGCCACGCTTCCCTGCTCCCCACTCTCCGCCCGCCCAGCCGCTGACTGCTCTGCGGTCCTCGGCTCCCAGCGCCAATCAGCCCCTGGCTTCCTCATCTCGCTCTCTCTCTGCCTTGTTCCTGCCTTGGCTTAGAAAGTAGCCTTTGGAATTTCCTTAATTCCTGAGCTGCATTTAAAGGTGGCTTTGGCAGGGCTGTGTTTTGTGATATTTTGAAAGACTCCATAGTCTGGGTTCATAGCTGCCGTCCAGGAAAAGAATACCTCCCCCAAACCACTCCAACACGAAGGGCTTTGAGAAACCTCTGGCTGTAGCTGCGAGCTAAGCCACTACCGCCTACTGTGTGCTCTGGCATCCCCACGCACTTAAGTGACATGAAAGCGTGGCAGATGAAGATGCAAATTGCTGTCCAAGGACCAGGCTTGATCATATCACACAGCAAGGACACAGGTAAAGCAGTGCGATGACCAAAGTTAGGACAGGTTGGAAGTGTAGCTCAGTGGTACAGCCTTGCTTAGCACGCTTAGGTCCTTGGGTTCCATCTCCAGCACCTCAATAACAACACAGTAGGACAAACTGATCTCAACTGACCTTATCAGGTCACCTAGGTTCTCTAAGCTAGGCCTCCTCTCCCAGATGGTTCCATGGGAAATTAGTAAGATCTGCCCTGAGCTCAGCTGACTGCCCCTTTTCTTCTCATGTTTGAAACCTTCCAGTGGAAAGTGCTCAGCCTTACCATGGAATGCACTGGGATTTCTCCAGCAGGCAAGAGAAAGAAGTCTTTCACCTTTGAGCTAGCAAAAACATGATTGCAAGAGAAGAGGAAAAGTGGGAATTGAGCCTGAGAGTTAAAGGAATGACAATGACTTGGGCTGCCCAAAATATAACAGGCTGCTGAAGGTACCAAACAACCAGAAAGATAAGGCTGCAATCAGGTTATGGTGGGCAGTGCTGATAATCCCTGTGGAGATCGGATTTTAAAAAGCAACTAGGCATGCATTTCTTTTTGCCTGAGAACAAGAAATTTATCATTAGGAAGAAAATCAAAGCAAACAGAAAGCTAATGCCCTGTATTGGTGTAGAATATACATTAAGGGTATTAATTATATTCTTTTATTTATCTTGTGAAGATCATCCCTCTACCCCACGTCTCTACCAGTAAATACTGGTATAATTACTATGGGACATTTAAATTCTCCTCTCTGATCAGAGCCAAGTTCACGTGGCCAGTGAGGACAGGAGCCACCCACCTGGAGGGTTTTCTTTTTCCATCTTCAGGCGGCAGACTTACATTTCTCTCCTTGGCGCCCAGTCTCTTTCCTTTGGCAGCAAAAACAGCAGGCTGGTGATTATATTTTTGGTTAAGGGCAAAAAGGAGTCTGTGATACTCTGCTCAAACAGCTGTAGAATTAAAAACAAAGTAAATGTTGAATTCCAGTTTTATGTGTTTGTGTTTTTAAAATCTTATTATTTTAATTACAGGCTCCTACAGAAAATGAGTTTAAAATGGTTACAAATAAGACCATGAGGACACTTCCTAAGAAATTAGGCCTGTTTCCTCTCCCCAGGGAGGCAATGGAGGTTCATCCACTGACCCCTCCCAACTGCTCAAGCCCACATACGGGGGAGGGGGTGGGGAGCCGACAGCAGCATCCTTCACATGAAAGGCAATGATAAGATATTCTTCTTACTGAAACCAATCTTAACTTACACTTTCTAACCAACCAGTTAAAAAATAATTACCACTTACTATAAAGGGCACACTTGGTACTCAATCACTTAGGGCTTTGAGATTCAGTAGCAAGACAAGAATGGTTTGTGGGAGGTTTTATAGTTCCCAGGGAGGTGGAACGTTATACACCCTAAACTATTACTGAGCTGTCCAATACTACCAATGGTAGGAGTGCCTTCTTCTATGGAACATTTTTGTGAAATATAACATGATACAGAAAAGCACAGAAATCAAGCAGACAAAATAGCACCCAGGAACCACTGTGCCCAGATGTAACACAGCAGTGTAGTTGGAGACAATCCTTTTTTAAAACTTTTCATTATTAATTTATTTTTATTTCTTTAAAAATAAAAACCACTCATAAAATAAAGAATAATAGTTACCATCGGGGAGAAAAGGATTATAGCTATAGGAAGGTACAAAAAATATCTGTGCCTTTATCAGTTTAACCCAATTCAATTCAATTCATGTAAGTCCTGTGTCAATATCTGCTTGTGAGAGCACTCAGTGAACACCCTTGGCCTGGACAATACTCCAGAGGGAAATGTGTGGTTCCAGCATTCTTGCCAGCCTTGCACATGTGAGCAACGTTTTACTACCCCTGCTAAACTGGGTGCAGGTACTCACTCACCTGTTTCAGGAGGCTTTCATCCATTCTTATTGCACCGGGTCTGGGCTTATTCTGATCCATCACATGGGCAGTTAGAATTTAACACATGAATTTATGGTGGGAAGACACCATTCAGTCTATAGCACTTGAAAATGCTAACTATGTGTGAGGCACTGTGCAAAGTCCTTTTCTTCCCCGTCTTTTAAATTTGTCATCCTTAGAGGCTGTACGTGTAGTACCCATACCTGCTGTGCTACAGCACTTTCCCAGTATGTGCAAGGTCCTCAGTTTTGTCCCCAGAACAAAAAGAGAAAGAAAAAAAATGTCATTCTCCTCATTTGCAAGGCGCTCCATTTTCTCTCTGATAAAGCTTGTCCAATTCTTCGTTCCAATGTTTTTTAAGCTTAGTGTGAGAATCCTGAAGGGCTCCTTAGTGCAGATTCCCTGGTCATACCCCTGAAAATCTGACCTATTTGGTCATGGGTGGGGCCCAGGAGTCTCCAATTAAAAAAAAAAGTGGCTCCAAGGGGTCTTAGGAGATGCTGACATGAGTAACCCTCAGAATGCGCCGGACAGGAGAAACTCAACTCATTTGCCTCCTTGCCTGGCTTCAATAATGCACATAATAGGTACCCCCATCAGGATCCCCAGAGACAATGCCAAGCCCAGGGACCTCATTTCTGTGATTTGGTAGGTGAGAACACAGGCGTCAGATTACAGGTTTTTTCTGCATTACATACAAGCATATGAATAAATCACCTGTCCTCTCCAGGCCAAAGTCTGCAAAATGAGGGGAGGAGTATCTAGCTCACTGGGGTAAGAAGTCACGTGGATAGAGCTTTATACACAGTAGGCACTCAATAAATGTTAGAGATTGATATTATTACTGAAACCCTCTACTGGCCTCTATGCTCTGTGACCAGGACTCTGCCACCCAGGGGTTCCTGCCCTCTCCCCCTCCCTCCAGCCCAGGCCAGGCTCTCAGGAGCTCTCATTATGGAAGGATGAGCTTCCACCCCACATCATTATCACACGTTGCCAGATTGAGTTTCTCAAAAACTGCCTGGACACAATGTCCTCACCTCAGAAGGCCACTGTGACCTCGGCGGTCCTGCTCTTAACATCTAGTTAACAGATAAGTGCTGACAGAAGAGCATGTGAAGTGCCATTACCCTGTGGAGTACGTCAGCTGAACACACCTCAGGGAGACTCTGCAGGACAAAGGACAGCGTCTGACATGAAATGGTCACCAATCACAAGAGACCTCAGAGACAGTTGGGCCCATGCAGTACTGTATTCTGCTTGACTCCTGACTCTGAGTCACAAGCCAATAGTAAAAGAGACGTGATCACGAAGAGGCCCAATCTTAACCTTGCTTTTTTTTGTAGGTGTGAAAATGGTATGTATAGTTACCTTTTAAAGTGCTGATCTGTTAGAACTCCATCCTGAAATATTTAAAGGTAAAATGGCACACTGAGTAGGATTTGCCTTAAAATAGTTTAAGAAAAAGACTGACAAACATTGATAATTCTTTTGCCAGGAAATGAGTTACTAGATCCCCAACTGTGATGTGCCTATGTGCTGCCACCAGGAAAAGGTGTAGGGTGAGTGGGGGTCCTCCACTCATCTCTCCAATTATATTCCAGTTCCTAGGCTTTTGGATTCAACAACTGAAAGAATTTGGGGCAATTCACAAAGTGACTGACAAGGTAAGCAAGCCAACAAAGATTATTTAGTACACCAAGATAAACCAGCAAGAAATAGAAAAGAAAAAAAAAAAGAGCACCTCCTGACATGCAGAGGGTGGGAGCTAGAGGCTTAGATGGGTGGTCCTCTTCCCAGGTATATTTATACCCAAAGCTGGGGGATTCCACTTGGAACTTTTACCTAGGCACCTGGTGACTTCCAGTCATTTTGCTAAGTTTTTATTTTGATAATATCACCCAAACAGGAGTAAATGGGTCTAGGGTGGCTTTATTTTCACCTAAGCATGGAGACCACAGGTGTAGTGTGGGTTGATAATTAAAGGTCTGTGACATGGGTACCTTCTTCTCGTCACCTTGAACATTCCTTTGTGGGCAAAGAATTATCTTCTATTCTCAGACCAAACTGCTCATCTCAGGAAAAAGCAACTCACTTAAATATAAAGGAAAGGAAGTATGATGGAAGGGATGCATGCAGGTGGATGCTTAACTCATTAACTCAACTTTTGTAGCTCTAATCATTTCTTGTTATCTTAGCTCCTGACTCTGGCTTATTTTTAGAAGCTTTCTGATTTCTGATTACTCTGTTACTTTGCCCTATCTATCCTGCTTCAGCACTATGGTCTGAATTTTTGTGCTTCCCCCACCCCCAAATTCACATGTGAATGAAATCCTAGT